GTCAGTAATGCCTTTCTTAATGGAGTTCTAAGTGAGACTGTGTATATGGTTCAGCCACTGGGGTTTGTTGATCCGGTGCGCCCTCATTATGTGTGTAAACTGCATAAGTCCTTATATGGTCTTAAGCAAGCTCCTCGGGCCTGGTATTCTCTGCTGGCAGCATTTCTGCTTACCTTGGGTTTTGTGGAGTCTCGTTGTGATCTGTCTCTTTTTGTCTATCGCCGTGGGTCTCAGTTGTGTTTTTTCTGGTCTATGTGGATGACATTATTCTTACAGCAAGACTTCGGTTTGGTCCAGATTTTATCTCTTGTCTTGCTAAGGAGTTTTCTCTTGAGATTTAGGTCCATTGAGTTACTTTCTTGGGGTTGAGGTTCGTCGTACTTCCAAGGGTTTGCTTCTCTCTCAGCGCAAGTATGTCACTGATTTGCTACGACTTGCAAATATGCATACTTGCAAACCTGTTTCCACTCCTTTGCAGGCTAATGTTGTGTTGTCCCGTTTGGATGGTACTCTGTTGTCTCCTGATGATGCGACTACTTATCGTCGGTGTGTGGGCGATCTGCAGATATACAACTCTCACTCGTCCAGATATCTCTTTTGCGGTTAATAAGCTTTGTCAGTTCATGCATCAGCCTCGCACTTCTCATTTTCAGGCTCTCAACGGGTTCTTCGCTATCTTCGTGGTACCGTTGATTTCTGTTTAGTTCTGCATCCTACAGATCTGGATACTCTTACTGCGTTTAGTGATGCTGACTGGGCTGGTTGTCCGGATGATCGTCGTTCTACTACTGGTTTTCTCATTTATTTGGGACCTAATCTCATTGCTTGGGCATCTAGGAAACAGCCCACTGTGGCTCGCTCGTCTACTGAGGCTGAGTTTCGTGCGGTTACTAATGTCTGTGTTGAACTGCATTGGGTGTGTCATCTGTTATCCGAGTTAGGCGTTTCTTTACATCGTCCTCCCTCTATTTGGTGTGACAACAGTAGTGCAGTTTTCCTTACTGTTAATCCTGTGTTCCATGCTCGTACAAGACATGTTGAGGTTGATTTTCACTTTGTTCGAGATCATGTTCGGCGTAAGTTTGTTTCGGTCAATTCTATCTCTACTGCTGATCAGCTTGCTGATATTCTGACAAAACCCTTGTCCAAAGAGTTATTCTTTCGATTTCGGGACAAACTTCGGCTTCTCTCTCTCCGCCGTAAGTTTGCGGGGGCGTATTGTAATATTTAGTATATTTCCTATTATGTTATAGTTTAGGATTTCTTATTGTCTATATATAGTCAGTATATTGTGTACAATAGATTATGCATCTAATACAATTTCCCTATTCTAAGTGTGATAATGAATTTTGAATTTAATGTGTGATCATAAGAATATGATTGATCCTTAATTAAGTGCACCGACGGAAATATCAACAATTGGATGAGACAATTGACCGTTGCTTCTAAAAGGTTTTTGCTGCCATTGGCCAAGTCCAGCAAGTTGATGAACCCTAGCTTGGATGAGGAAAACTTAACTGGATGATGGTGTCAGATTTCTGGTGCAATCTAACCAACTTAAGCTGTGCAATCTAACTGTGCAAAAATATGTCTTTCCACGACACATGATTTGTGCCACTAAAAGTAGCAAAAGTGCCAAAAATAATGTATTGCATCATCTATGGAACAACCAAAAGTGGGGCAGTAATTTGGGTCAGAAATTTTGGTAACACTTACTCCGGATGTGCTGCAAAAATTGCGGCACCTTTTGTTTATATATATACTAGTGATATCTGGTCGCGCAATGCGCGACCCTGACCCAATATATCTATAGATCTTAGAAATGTTTGTATCTGGAAAAAAAATATTTTGTATTTGGCCCGATATATTTTAGAAATATTTGAAGAATTTTAGAAATGTTTTATAAGTGAGATGTTGGTATTTGGCAAAAAAATAAATTGTATTTGGCCCGGTACGTTTTAGAAATGTTTGAAAATTTTAGAAATATTTTATAAGTGTTACTTCTTAAATATAAAATATATGTCTTGAAGTAAATGCTAGACAAAATATAAAAGTATCCTAATAAGTTTAAATATTAGTAAGATAATTTATTGATTTTCTCCATTGATTGTGTCAAATCAATACTTAGTTTTGGAGATTTATAATAGCTTTGTAGTTAGCTTCTTCCAAAGGGTATACGCTTAATTGTTGGAACTCTTTCTTCCAAAAGTTTATAGGTAGTAAAATATCAAAAATATGATTTTGAAAATGGTTAATTGTTGAAACTGGTTGATCACAAATATGAGAATGAAAATAATATAAATTTGCATAGGTTTCAAGATATAGCAAAAAAGAACTCACCTCACGATGACAAATAAAAAAAGAAGTAAAAGATAGCCCATTAAAATTTGAGAATTTTTATTTTTTTCTGTAGGTAAAAATGATGTATAAAAACACAAATAAACGTAGAAACATCATTCCTTCCCTCTCCACCTCAAATTCATAAAAGGATTCCCAATAAATTAGTTAAAAGAAGCGACCTGAACTATTTATATGATGAGGAACTAAAAAAAGTCTAAAAACCAAATTCAAAAAAGTATATTCTTGAAACCTCGAACACAAAAAAAGAAACGTGATTCATTTGCAAATAAAATAATAATAATAATAATAATAATAATAATAATAATAATAATAATAATAATAATAATAATAATTGGTCAATTGGGAGTATGAAACAAAATCAAAAGCAATTAAACAAAGAAAAAACACACTTCATTATTGGCCATATACGAAAAAAAACCTGAAACTCCATAATTAAAAAAAGAAAACCACTCTAATTGAATGAAACATAAAAAACAAATTTAAAAAACCACACTTTGTAACAAAAACCCAATCAATCAATTCAATCCAAACATAACTAAAATCATATAAAAATTCTAGGCTAACTAACCAAATAAGAAATCACATCATACTACCTGACAACGGCTACGGTAGCCGTAACGGATGGACGCATAAAAATAATAGTAATAACACTATTCTTGAACGGGAAAAACAAAAAATAATAAAAGCCAAACCAATGATCTGTGGAAATAAAATCATTTAAATTTTAATACCTGCAATGGTACCACCACAACGGCTGAAGCAAGATCAATGAGAATTTTTTTTTCCTTTGTGTTTATATAGAGAGGTAAAGAGAATATTTTTTGAAGTTGAAATTTTATCCGATTAAGATGTAGTTGATCATCACTAATGAAAAGATTGAATATGCTAATAGGAAAGGAGTATATTTCACCACATATTCTCAATTGATGATTGATGAGGAATTTGTTTTTTTTTTAATTGTGGAGAAGGGATTGATTAAGGAGTCGATTGTTGTGGAGATGGGATGGGGATTTGGGGTTTTTATGAACCCGTGGTTTTTTTTTTGTTTGTTTTGACGAAAATAGGAGGTGGAAGTGAATTTAGACTGCATTTGCCTTTTAAATTTTGGAGATGTGGTAATAAAAATTTATTTTAAAAATATGATGTGAAAATGGCACATAGCAAATGATGGTGCTTTCTCTTAAGTGTTGTTTTTGTTTCTAATATAGTAAGATATATATATATATATATACATATACATATATATATATATATATATAACATATATATATATAACATCAAATTTGGTGACATTTGATCAACAAGCACTTGGTCCAAGTGATAAAGGTATTGGACCAGTTTAACTATGAGATGGATTTAAACCGGGGCAATGGCATGCAACAGTGATTAAAATACTTGTTGGGAGCGATTTGGCTCCCGAAAGAGACCGACCCGGCTCAAATTCGAGTTAGTCGGAGCAATGATTTCGGATACCGAGTGCATAATATAACAAAAAAAAAAAATTTGGTGACCCTTGTTGGGTTATTTGATGCACTGTTGCAAATTGTATAGCGAATTTCTTTTTTTATTCTTTTGGTTGTGATTTAGTGTTTAAATAAAAAAAATTATGCCCTTTTATGAAAAAGTGTTGCACAAATTTGTGTCGTCAAGTGAATTCTACACAAATTAATATGCAACATATACTGTGCTATTTTTTAATCTACATAATATAAAAGGAGAGTTGTCCGGTTGATCACCAGTTTAGGTACAGTAACAAGTAAAATTTTCACACGTGTCGACTATCTATTGGAGGTCAGGGTTATCAATGGGGCATTCCAATTATCCTGGAAAATGAAAACCAAGAAAATGAAAAAAAAAATTAATATTTTCACCTTTGAATTTTGAAAATAAGAAATTTAATTTTAAGCAATTGATAGAAAAAGTCTCATTTTTCCGTCGCGAAATTTAACGGGTCTCTTCGTCGCAAATAAAACAAGCTCTTGTTTTGATTTGAACTATGTAAAAAGGATTGCTTCGAGAAATTCGGGAATAAATATTTAAAAAATAAAAAGAAAGAAAAACACTGTATCATGTATTGTATGCTGTCTTTACAAGTCTTTTAAATTTTCTTGTAAATAGATAAGCTATTGTAATTTATAAGGGATGATAGCCAGGAAGTAATTATTATAATGACAAAAATACTTCAAATTACGGCAAAATGTTAGAAAACAAATAATAAAAAATCCATCGCCTTCTTGCTCCATTTGTCCTGGAAAGATGGGGAAATTAATCTTCGATTTTTTATGATAGGAGAATCCAGATCCAAATGAAGGAAATTTTTTACTCAGTCATGGTATCCAGAATTTATTAACTAGCTTGGAGATTTAATAAAACAACGTAGGTGATGTTGAATATTATTGGTATTGAGTATTGACCCATTTGTGTCAGAAAAATGATAACACTATATTCATCAATAAAATAATTACATGACACAATAAAAAAAAAAACACCAGTACTTAACTGTTAGATTGTTTATGAATTTTGCAAACCGGCATGGCAATTAGCTGGGCACGTCGCATATTGATTTGCTGATTTTCGTTTGCTTCCCAAATCGTGTAGTAAAATTCTTCATCTTTTTCTAGTTCCCCCTCCCCCCCTACATGGCTGCTGCTTTGGTGGAAGAATCGAATAAGCAGCCACTTTTATCCAACCTAGAAGAAGAAGATAACTGCCATTTGCTGCAAGATTCAATTCAACAAGTAATCCACCAACCAAATAGAAATACTAATAATTTATTGTTTGATGCGGATGAAGGTGAAATCAACCCAATCAATGGAGCCGGAGATTTCTTCCGGGAATTCGTCAACGAGTCCAACAAACTCTGGTACCTCGCCGCCCCGGCAATCTTCACTTCTTTTTCCCAGTACTCCATCGGCGCCATGACTCAGGTCTTCGCCGGCCACCTCGGAGCTCTTGAACTCGCCGCCGTTGCCGTCGCAAGAAGCGCTGTTTCCGGATTCGCTTTTGGTATTATGGTAATTAAAAAGACAAAAAAAAAAGTTTGAAAATATTCTAATTAAATTGATGATCTATTCACGATGAAATATGAATGCAGTTAGGAATGGGAAGTGCTTTGGAGACGCTATGCGGGCAAGCATTCGGAGCGGGTCAGGTGGATATGCTGGGGATTTATTTGCAGAGATCATGGATTATACTAAACGGCACCGCATTAGTACTAATGGTTTACCAGATCTTCTCGGCTCAAGTGTTGAGATTAATCGGTCAAACTCCCGATATATCCAAGTCGGCCGGGACATTTGCGACGTGGATCATCCCGGTGGTATTCGCTTTCGCGTTTAATTTCCCGATCCAGAAATACTTGCAAGCTCAGAGCAAGATTATGGTCATGGCGGCGATCACCGCCGTGGCTTTGGCGGCGCACGTCCTTTTCAGCTGGCTGATGATGCTGAAGCTGGGGTGGGGACTGGTGGGTGGGGCGGTGGTTCTCAACGCGACGTGGTGGTTCGTGGTGGCGGCTCAGCTGGTCTACGTGTTCAGTGGAGCGTGTGGGGACGCGTGGTCGGGTTTCTCTTGGAAGGCTTTCCAAAATCTGTGGGGTTTTGTAAAGCTGTCGTTTGCATCTGCGATTATGATTTGGTTAGTCCCAATGCTGCCTGAATCCAAATACTTTATCCGTCCCCAAACGAAATAATATAGGTTACCATTTATTTCAATTTTATTAGTGTCACTGTATTAAAAATGTAAAATTCTAAGTAGGAAATAAGTCTTGGGTTCATTTTATTGGGTGTATGAGAAAAAGAACAACCAGTTATATGTAGTATACAGTAATATGGATGGTCTTAAATTGCCTCAGGATGGAGTTTTGGTACTTCATGATATTAGTACTGTTCGCCGGATACTTAAAGAATGCTGAAATTGCAGTGGACGCCCTCTCTATTTGGTGAGTTTGACATCTCTTCGCCCTTATGGGGGCAAAATTCGTTCATAATTTGAATTAATTTAGCCAATGTTTATTACGTCATTATGTTTCTTGCATTTTTGTATTACATTCATTATTTCAGTTTGAATGTCAACTAGAACCTACAATTAAGGAATTATTAATCTGCATTATTTTTAATGTTATTGCAGCATAAACATAGTGGAGTGGACACTCATGGTAGCAATGGGATTTAATGCAGCTATAAGGTACGTAATAAATGAGTTTCGCACCAATCACAAATAATAATAATAATCATCTTCAAATAAAAAATTGTGCCGAAAATTCAGTGTTTATGTCTTTTCACGCGAGCTATCGCTAATACATGTGTCTACACAATTTTATTCTATATTATATAAAACTACCATACAAAATGCTGGTTTTCCAGCGTGAGGGTGTCAAATGAATTGGGAGCTGGGCATCCACGAAGAGCAAAGTTTTCAGTAGTTGTGGCGACGATAACCTCAATTGTTGCCGGGATCTTGCTTGGATTGGTCCTAATTGTCACACAAAATCAATACCCGGCATTATTCTCAAACAACAAACAAGTTCAACAAACCGTATATGAACTCACACCTCTGCTAATTGCCTGTGTAATTACCAACAGTGTGCAGCCAACTCTCTCGGGTAAAATTTCTTTTTCTTACAAGACACATATTTAAAAGATGGAACTAAAACGAAGTAATTAGTCACTAACTCACTATTTTGGGACTAAACTGTTGGTTTACCCAAATTGAAAATATATAATGTTTCTTAATTATTATAGTGATTTGTTTCGTAATGGATGCAGGGGTGGCGATTGGAGCAGGGTGGCAAGCCTATGTTGCTTATGTGAATCTAATTTGCTATTACATAGTGGGAATTCCAGTTGGTCTAATCTTAGGTTACCCTTTGAGAATGGGTGTCCAGGTAGTAAACCTATATATCTGCGCTCTTATTAAACTTGTTTTTTTTTCCCCTCTATTTGCAATTGATATTTGATAGAGCTCATTCACAATTCTGATTAAAATAATATATATATATATATATATATATATCTTCATAATTTTTAGGGCATTTGGTTTGGGATGTTATTTGGGGCGACAGTTCAAACTTTGGTTCTGTTATGGATGACATACAACACAAATTGGGAGAAGGAGGTTTCTTTAATTTTCTTGCATTATATGAATTCATTTTAATCACCCTGCCTTAATTCTAAAAAAAAAAAATGTTATGTAGAATGAAATCTTAATTTATTTTTTTCATATCACTTTATAGTTTATGAGGAAAAAGAAAAAAAATAAAACAGTTACACTTGTTTGGGCTAGTGAAAGCTAGTTCATATCGTTTCTATTCTTTATCTGCAGGGTTCTGCTGCTGGAGACAGAATTAAAGAATGGCGAGGAGATTGAATTCTGAAGTAGTTGTTAAACTAGATGCGAGAGAAAGATAAAGCCTAAAATTGGAAAATCTTTGTTTTCTTCGAAAATGTGAAGAATTTGTGCGGCTTAACTGTCTAAGTGGCTAAATACAATTCATTATTCGCACTTTTGCGTTTTTAATTAAAATTTTTATGTGGGAAGATACACATTAATTTAAAAATTGTGTTTCGATATGTACGCATAAGTTTGCATTTTCGCCACGAAACAGTAAAGTTGAAATTTTCTCTTTAATACTTTTTCATTTATAAATTTTGATACTCATATTATGAAGAAGTAAAGTATCTTATTTGTTATTATATGTTGAGACTTGTAGTAAATTTTATCTTCTTAAAAATGGAGGTTTGATTTTGGGAATGAATTAAACATGTACGGATAGATATGCAACGGGCCATATCACAGTAAAAGAAATGATATGTTAATCCTTAAGTTTGCGGGGTGGGAAGGTTGGATGGAATGTTTAGGGGATTAGGATGGGATGATTATTACCAAGAGGTCGAGTGTTCGATTTTTGGTGGGACTATTCAATTAAAAAAAAAATTTCTTAATTTTGTAAATTGGAAGGTTAGGGTTACATATAAAATTTTAAAATACTGGTAATTGAGCATACACACACCACAATCGCCTTATTCCTATTTATTTAGTATGAGTACAAATTATTTCCGGAAGGTGAAGGTTTTCTAATAAATATTGTAATCATTATTTTTGGTAAGACAAAAAAAGTTATATCCGGATGGTGAAGGTTTTCTAATAAATATTTTGATCATTATTTTTGGTAAGACAAAAAAAGTTATATCCGGATGGTGAAGGTTTTCTAATAAATATTCTAATCATTATTTTTGGTAAGACAAAAAAAGTTATATCCGGATGGCGAAGGTTTTCTAATAAATATTCTAATCATTATTTTTGGTAAGACAAAAAATTAAAGTTGAATCATGTTAAACGCACTCTATATTATCATAAAGGCTGGTGATATTGCCAATTAAAATTAGCTTGCAAAGTAAAATATTACTCCTATCCCCAATTTACCCTTATTAGTTAACCATCGTTCATCATCCTTTCGACTATTATTTTTTGTTCTCTTTTTCCTTTTCGTTTTTGGTTTTGGCCTTTTGGGTGCCAAAATTCTTCTAGTTAGTTTCTTCCTATCTCTCTCACAACACAGATCTCTTTTGTACCTACCCCTTCATGTCTTTCCAAATATATAAGAATGAGAGAAATGAATATGCTTTAGGATTGAAGAAGTTATCCAAAAGTCATATGGATGGAATATTAAGTTTAGAAGATTAAGTTTGGTGATTCTTGCTACTCGGAAATGGGTGGAATATTAAGTTTAGAAGATTGTCCGATTAAATTTTCATTTAACTAATAATGATTATAAGCAACCTGTTCTTCGGCTTTATATAAATACAAGTTCTTGGGGATATACTTAGGTCAGAAACTATGAGCTTAGTACACAAAATAACGCACTTATGATCATCCATTAGACATTGATTGTTTTTGATGAGAAAGATTAAATTATAAGTTATAATCAGCAATGAGGCATCGATTTTATATGATAAGAAAGTAAAGAAACTGCAAGGATCGATGATTAAGCAAGAAATTTATTCTGAATTGAAAAAGAAGGTAAAGCTGAATTTAGACGAGAGAGAGAAGAACAAAGCTCCTTAGTTCAGCAAAAGAAGTCTGAAAATATACTGTCATTGTTGGTTTTTTTAATCTGTTTCAAGTATATACATATATAAGACTTAGTCAACATAACCGACTAAGACTTTTATTTGTTACACAATGAGGACTTATACTGGAATATTCTAGGTAATTGCTGAATCATAGTCTTCCTGCTTGTGGTCACGTGATTTGTGATCTTCCAAGCTGGCAGAATGACAACCTGAAAACACATGACAGAAAACCGTATGCTCATGCTGCTGCTGTGAGCTTTGTTCATCCAAAGCTTGATCACTCTTTACCCCTCCCCCCCCCCACCCCCCCTCAAGAGGAAAATCCCAAAGGCTCATCTTGGAGAGTAAGAAATTGAAAACTGAAACTGGAAGAGCTTTAGTAAAAAAATCTGCAAGTTGGTGAGAAGTGCTAACATGTGTGGGGAAGATAAAACAAGCCTTGAATTGATCACGAACAACGTGACAATCAATTTCTATATGTTTAGTCCGTTCATGAAAAACGGGGTTAACTGTAATGTCAAGAGCAGCTTTACTATCACAATGAAAAAAAATAGGCAGAGGAAGATCAATGCAAAAATCTCAAAGCATAAAAGCAAGCCACTTAAGTTCACGAGTGGTGGCAGCCATGGCGCGGTATTCGGCCTCAGCACAAGAACAGGAGATAGTACTTTGTTTCTTAGTTTTCCAAGAAACAAGGCTACTGCCAAGCAGGATACAGTAACCAGTCAAGGAATGCCGGGAGGAACGACAAGATCCCCAATCCGAATCACTATATGCAAGCAAGGACAGAGAAGAGGAACTTGAATAAAACAAACCACGACTAATGCAGCCAGAGAGATACCTAAGGACATGAGTAGCAGCATGCCAGTGAGAATCATGAGGACAATGGATGAATTGACTGAGCTGTTGAACAGCGTAAGTAATGTCAGGTCTTGTATAATTCAGATATAATAAACGCCAACTAAGCGGCG